ACTTTACTTCTTTGCAAACTTTAACCCTGGATACCTCTTACAGCATCAGAATGAACAGACCAGATTCTTTCATCAGGGTGGAATTTCAGAAATGAAAGGGGGAGTTTCGGAGCGTTCCCATTGGTCATCAGTAGGATGCTTTTCTTCTTTTAACCATCTGTCTTTTGGGTTGGAGTCCTTGTTTAGACAGTGACTGTGCTGATCATGTGTTTGGATTCCCCGCCCCCCATCAAGCCCCCGGATATGATTTTGCTGTTGAAGAAGCAGGTCAGGACTTCATTTGCTCATTCTGTGGGCAAACTGTCTTCCCAGTATCATGACATGGGTGCTCCTGGTGTCTTTAAGAGTTTACATAGTTGCCATAGCATAGACTGAGTTCTGTTTTAACTATGACTTGCCCTTTTATTATGGACTTGACTGGAGAGACTCCCCTGGTGTAAATGAAGTGCTTTATTTATTAACAGCCAGGCAGTGGGGGCGAGAGCTCTCTTTGCTGGCAAGTGCCCGCCATGCACTGGTAATAAAGACTTTCTCTGGGGGCAGAGTGTGCTGAGCACTGAAAGGAGGAGGCAGTAGTAAACAAGGTGTTTTACATTCAGGACAGTCTCTCTCTCGTCTTGAAGTGCGTAATTGTGTTCTGGATACATTATGGAAATAAAAAAAAATCAGAAGTTGCTCATAGGGAAATAACCCTCTTTAAAACCAAGTAAATATCCAAGGCAGAGCCAATAGAGCCTTGGCAACCAGTCCTGGTGCTGGCTGGTAAAAAGTACAAGCTGTATGGGCAGGAGAAGTTGACAGAACTGGGTTCAAACACCAGCTCAGCCACTTAGCTAAATTGCATGAGGCAGCTTACAGAAATCTGAGTCTCGCACTTTTAATCTTTAAAGTGGGGATATTGAAAACTCCAGGAGTTTGAAAGGGAAAGTGTATAAAACACCAGCACAATGCCCAGAATTGGATAATGTTTGTTCTGTGCTCTGTGGAAAAGAATGAGATTTCCAGTTCCTGCATTAAAATTTGCCCTATCTCCTCCTCCTGTAGAAAGGGCATATTGCTGACTAAATAGACGCCAGAAGATGTTCATTTTCTTTGTACAAGACCATCCAAATGGAATTTATGATATATGTTTAGGAAAGAATTGATGAACTATGGTAGTTGAAGGTTAATTAACAAGGTATCAAAATAAATTTTACTTTTCTTGGGATCATAAGCTTTCTGTTCATTGTGGTGGATGTGCTAGAAACTTCTAGCTTAACCCAGGAAACTTGCTCTCCAATGTCAGAGTTTTAGTTTTAGAAACTGGGGAAAATTGCAAGTTACAAGGAATATACTCCCTATAACATAACAGCTGCTGGTACAAATTAAAGTCCAGTTTATTATGTCCCATAAGCCTCACCAATATATACCAATTAGCAGTCCAAAAAATGTCTATACATGCCAGATGACATGTTCCATCCTTAAAATAAATCACCTTGCTAAGAACAGCCTATGTAATGGCTACACTGTATTGTTCCTGTTTGAATTTTTTTGGGGGGAGGGGGTGTCTGGAATGTGCTATTTCTGCCTTGACAGTACATCAGCTTAATTGAGTCTTAGAAAATCAGAAAGGTTTGTTAAAATGGATTCTTTAAAGGAAACACCAAAGTTGCCTATTTCTATCCTGCTACACATCAAATTGTGTTTTATAAGGACCTAATTGTCGTGATATCTATTTCAAGGGGAAATTTATCAAGTCACAGTGCACCCTTCTGTTTGGAAGAAATATATGAGGATGTGAGCAGAAATTATTTTTACATAAAGGCTTCAGGCAGTTAGGAGTACTGACATACATACCATATTTTCATCACTGTCATTCACTTCCTTTGCCTCAAATAAATAGGTCATTATTATCCCATCGCAGCCATCTTATGGCGCCTTACTGTGTGGAGCTGTGTGTAATATAACTGCCATCCAGCTGACCCATATAATTTATTGATGATTTTTACAAAATGACATCCTTGGGCCACTACCATCAGCCGAAGCACTTTGATATCTTTCAGCAAAAGTATATTTCATTCTCACTTAGACGTTTTTAGGGTTGGTATTTTAGCCATGATGCCACAGCCAGGAACTGGCAGTTCATGAGACACTGCATTGTAGATTGGCCTTAATAACTTCAAAGAATAATATAGCATTGTTGACTATTTCCACCATGGATTTGTGGAGCGCAGCAAAAGCAAAAATGTGGTAGATGGTAAAAGTTTAACTGAATGATTTGCTCAGTAATAACACATTCTGGTCTTCTAATAATAATTATAATGAATAACTAGGAATGTTTTAGCCTTCATTTAAAAATAAAAACAAAAGAAAAAACAAGCCTTTGATTCTCTTTTATTGCCTTCATTGCTTAAAACACAAAATTATGGTCAGCTCCTCCCTGTTACCATCTTCTGTGTAAATGCTTTATAGCCTTAATAGGACCGTAGTATGGTCTGCTCCGAATATACTAGCCTTAGGATTTCAAATAAGGAGCTAAAATTAAAGTCTATAGTTATTTCCACAGGAACTATTCTATTAGAGTATAAATTGAATTGGAAGGGGCTTTTAAGTCCCAAGAGCTTGAAGATAGCAGTTAGGCCTGTGAGGCCTTGTTTTATGTTGTAGGGATTAATGCCTTGACACCAGGCAGCCTTTGCACAGGTACCTCTTGTAAATTGAAGATTCTTATTTGTGTTGCTAATACACTTTGTTCAGGTGGAAGAAATTCTTCCCTTAACCCAGTAAGCTTCTCTTTGGTATTCTAGTCTCCTGAAGGCAAGTCCCAAGACTTCCGGCAGTCACACAGTCCAATTCTACACTTTTAACTTTTCCTTAATTTTCTTACTAAATTGGGTTACCCTGAGACTGTAAGGTGGTGTCCTTTTCCTGTACACACTTTTGCCAGGGCCAGCAAGTCCATTGTTGGCAAGTTCACTTGATTGGCAGGAGCTCTCTTATTATTCTTTTCTGAAAGCTGGGGAATAAACTGCCTGTCCAGCTGGGTTCTGAATTCTGTGTTTGTCACTGTAATCCACTAACGAAAGAATCTGAGCAGCCTTTCTTCTTCCTTTTTTTCTGATCACTTTTTCTATTTGTTATTTCCCTGTTACACTTCTCAGCCCATTAAGCTTCTGCTGTCTGATCAAGCCAGGGAAATCCCCACCACACTGCAAGCCCCACAGGCCGCCTTCACACCAGGGTTAATTCCTTGGATCATAGAGCTCAAGGTCGAGTTTCATTTTGGTTTGTTCCACAAGCACCGAGAATTTTTTTTATGTATCTGTGACTCTAATATTTTTTTTCCCTTATCCTTCTAGTTTCCTCTCTTCTAATCCTCTGCCAGAGGCTGGTCTATTTCTAGGTAGATTTGGCTTCAAGCCATCTTTGACACCTCTCCTCATACTTTCCCACTGCGGCCTGACAGAGACAGGATCTTCAGTGAAAACATGATAGCCAGTGGAAATCCTCCATTTATTGCAGTTGCCCCTCTGCGAAATCTTTATGCTCTCATTTTTTTTTTCAGATTAGGATTTATCTTTGATCTTTGTTTCTTCATGTGACAACACTTTCTTGAGGAGTGAATAAGTCACCCTGAGTTTATACATACCAGCTACACACCTATTCTTTTGGAGCAGGAGCCATGAATATACATTTTTCTTTTCTACATACTACTCCCCACACACAGTGGCTTAGTGACTGTTTGGATTCTAGAAAAATGGTGATGACGATGATGACGACAAAGACGATGACGATGACAGCAGCAACTCCCATTTCTATAGTTTTATGAGAAGCTGAACATATCCTGAGAGGTAGCCTTTTTTTTCCCCTTGGCTTGGCTTAGTTTGGCTTTTTCTTCTCAAGGCTGCAGTTCTTATCAGATGAAGCATAGCTGCACTTCCAGTTTTTTGCTAGTTAATTGGAGGTAAGAGTCTCATGGACTTTTCTGCCCAACTTGGCTTCAATCCATGATCCTTAGAGCTCAGCCTTCTGAGTACCTAGAAATTACAGGCATGAGCTACCAGCACCCAGCTGAGATAATTCTTAATTTCTGCCTCCATGTTGCAAGTGGGGAAGTAAATCAGAGACTATAACTCAGTTTTCTGAGATCACTCTGGTTAAAATCAGTTAGGCCTTCCCACTTCCTGACTACCCATCACATCTACCACATGTACTACAGGTTTTGTTCTGCAAGTTAGCAATTAGGTATCTTGATGCCCAGGGTAACTTCTCTAACCCCTACTCTGCTACATGTAGTATTGAACACTTGATGATTGCTTCATGCTTTGCTACTTTGTTGAGCTCTCCTCTCCTTCTTACCTTGTGGATCATGTAGGACATTTATGAGGTGCCCTTGCTGCTGAATTAATCTAAGCAGTACGAAATTACAGCATATCTGAAGCTAAGACTTGTGTCGTGGATTGGAAAGCCATGACTTTTGACTTGTTCTGAAAGAGATTTTTCTGAAAAGCTGGAGAAGAGTGAGCCAGGGAGGTGGGTGGGTTCAGGACTGCCTAAGGCTTTGAGTGAGTTGTGAAGTTGTGACCCAACATAGGTGTAAGCCTACTTAGGATTTTATTGAGATCCTAGAATCATGACTAAACAAACTGGGGAAAGGTTGTTTATTGATCCCTCCTACCTATTTCTGTGAAGTGTCCCTTGAGTGTCTGTGATCTAACCCAGTAACAGCTCCAGGCACTTGAGCTAGGGTTCATCCATCATGTATATCCACCCTTTTCCAGTTGCAAGAGCTTCAGCTCCTCCCAGAAGCCAGTAGTCTGACCTTTCCAGTACTCAGCAGTGCAAGAGGCTGGATGGAGCCTGAGACCTCATGTGAAGACCAGAACAATTCCAGACTTAGGTGGACTTTATCCACAGATTTGCCATGGCTTAATTTTCACTTTCATTGGTCCTCTTGATCAAATTTTATTTGACTGAAGTTTTCTTTGACCCCTTTCTCTCTCTCTCTCTCTTTTTTTAAGGTGATGGACAGAATTTGTTTACTAAAGACGTGACAGTCATCGAGGGAGAAGTTGCAACCATCAGCTGCCAAGTCAATAAGAGTGACGACTCTGTGATTCAACTACTGAATCCCAACAGGCAGACCATTTACTTCAGGGACTTCAGGCGTAAGTTTCCATCCTGTCATGTCAGACAGCAACTTTCTTTTTTTTTTAACCTCTACATGTTGTCTTGATAAAGAGATTGTTATGGCTGCCTTTTTTTAATTTAATGTGAGATGCTTAAAGTTTAGTCCATTCTTTAGAGGGAAGAAAAGACGGGCAATCATAATCTTTCTACTTAATTGAAACCTTGAATGGTCCCTTGTAAAAGTAAGGTTGTCTTTCTTTGCAGTAGGAATTGATTGTAGTAATTCAAGGTGAATTGCAATTGAGTCCCAAATACTTAGCTGACACAAACAACTCCAATAAGTTAAGGCAAGGAAACTATAGCATTCTGAAAGGTAATCTGTTTGGTTTAAAGATTGAAGTTGCAAAGGTAATCTGTGCCTATAATGACAAAACCAAATCTTCCACCATAGTCTCGGATGTATGGAAGTAACCATATGCCCAAATCTGCCCAAATATAATACCAGAAAAGTCAGTAATTGAAACTAAATTGAACAGAATGTTCACATGGGTGCCATGGCCTACCAACAGCACACATCAATTTTTTGCAAGGGGTGGGGGAGAGAATGTCGTTTGAGAGGACCAGTGCCTAACCGAAGTAAATCAGGATGTCCCTTCCTCTCTGCTTGTTTCTTCCCTTCACCCCCCCCCCCAACGTCTCAGGTTACTTGGAACCTGTGGAAAGAGTTGACAAACTGAAGGGACATTTATGGGAATCAGGGAAGATTAAAGGAGAAAAGCAGAGTCTTATTCTCCAGTTAAACTCCAGTCATTATAAGCTAAGCTAGTCTTTGCCAAAATTCATGGAAGGACATTAAAAGAGAACATTTTAATGAAGCCTACATATTTTGCTTTTTGTTATTATTCTGGTTTCCTGCTTGAGGTCTAATCCGTTTCATTCTGTGAAGATGAACAATGCTAGAAAGTTGCAGAACTGGCTAAAGGTCTTTGTAGGCCCTTGGTTATCTGCATGGACAACTCCACCCCAATTTGTATCACATAAATTAAGATATGTTCCAGTTAAATGGCATTAGTTTGCCATCACAAGTTTTAGTAATTTTTAAAAAATTTTTGCTTGAAAATTATTAGCATGTTTTAGCCCTCTTTCATAATTTGGACCTATTTTTTGTTTGTCCTGGGCTCTAGCAATAACTGGGATTGTAACTCAGGACTCTGTTCTTGTTAGGGGAGCACTTTACCACTTGAGCCACACTCTCAGACCTAGAGCTGCTATTTTGTTGTTAAGCTTTGGATTTGGGGAAGGCCTGTATTGCCTTAATTCTTCAACTTCTGGTGTCTTAGAAGTTAAGAGGGGCTGGACTCTGTATCAGAGAACTCATAGCCTGCTCTTTCCTTCCATTTTCATTTTTCCTATCTGTTAGAAAGCCTGAAACAGTTTATGAGTAAGTACTGAAAACTGTGAGAGCACTTGGGATTGTGCCAAGAGAGGTGTGGTGTGTGTGTGTGTGTGTGTGTGTGTGTGTGTGTGCGCGCACACACGCGCACGCGAGCGCATGCATGCATCACCTCTTTTGGATAGTGCAGTTTGTCTATATGCAGTTATTACAAAAGCCCCAAAACAGTGCCCAACACGTACAGGAGACTACACTTTTTTTCTACTCTCTAACTGCCTTTCTGGAGGTCCTTACCTAGTTAAGGAGAATTGACGATCCACGATCTTTCTTACAGCCACTCACACTATGTTTTGTTTCACAGCTTTGAAGGACAGCAGGTTTCAGTTGCTGAATTTTTCTAGCAGTGAACTCAAAGTGTCGTTGACAAATGTGTCGATTTCTGATGAAGGGAGATACTTCTGCCAGCTCTACACCGACCCCCCACAGGAAAGCTACACCACCATCACAGTCCTGGGTAAGAAATACACGCGGCCTTATTTCTAGGAAGCAGAGTCAGGGTGGGTGGTCCTTACTATCAGAGAGCTTCCTGCAGCCAGGAAAAGGTTAATGGTGAATGTCACCATTCCAACTCGTTTTAGGAAGAATCTCCGCCCATCTTGCTGAATTTTAAAAATAGCCTATTTTGCCAAACGCTCTAAGGAATGGCAATCAGCAGTCTTTAGAGATTTCCACCTGCTCTGGGGTTTCAAACCTCAAGTTTCAGAAGCAAAGATCAAGAGAATTTAGAGCCCTCAAGTGAATCACTCACCACATGAAATATCATTGCCTCTAACTTCCAGGATATTTTTTTCTTCTGTGCAGGAACAGGGAAGATGGGTGCCCACATTTTGTACCCCATGGCAGAGCTTTGCTATGAAACCTGCGTCATGAGTTTTCTTTCTGTATGTCATCTTTGTTTTAATATTGTGGGTCTCCTTTTCTTTATCTTTATTTATTACCTTGTTTATCGCTAATACTCTCTATTAGGCTATAGAAAGTCATACCCCTGAACACATGCTTTTCACCAAGTGCATGCATGGGACAGGAAAGAGTTAAGAGCTGCTCAGTTGTAACAAGCAAAGAACTTGACAGAAGCCAGGTACGCCCCGAGTGAGGTGACTGTCTTCATTTATGATCACCAGAATTATAAATGTTTAGTCAAATCCCAGTGGCCAGGCGGGGTTCCATGTCGATAGTTTGACACAGTCAGCACATATCTCTATATTAATGGTAGTCTGAATTATTGACCTTTTGTTCAGACATACTCTGGTGCCTAACATCAGCTGGATATTTTAAATTGAGTATTCAAGGGCATACACTGTGTATGAGGTAAGATCTCTGATTTATACCTTCAAGAAGATGATGCATCATAGTCTATCTGACATGGCAGACTACAGCTTTTCAATGTAATGATATGAAAGATGAAAGGGATAAGGTAAATATGAAGGACGTGTTTGCTTGATGTGTGTGCACATACATGTATTTATGGATGTACATATTGAACAGCTGTCTAGCTGCTTGATTTAAACACAGCTGTAAAAGGGAAAATAATTTTTTACTCATTAAGCTAAAGTATATGCCCAAAGCTTACATATAAGCTCTTCATAAGAAGAATACTGACTTTAGAAAGTCATAATAAAAGTCTGTCCATGTAATTTTTAATGTGTTTTATTGGTGATAATAGATGGTTTTCAGTTACACAAATTTGGCATTGTTATGATTTTTAAGCCATATTATAGACCTGCATAAGCATAAGAAGTTTTGCTGGGATGAATACTTGAATGTTTTTCAGATGAACCAAATACACAAACACACATTTGAAGTTACCTGTCTGCTTATGTAGAAGCATTGGAAATTGGTTTGTGTTTTACATTTGTCACATAGACTTCAAATTGACCATCCTTATACTCACCTACTATTGTTTGTGACATTTTCATACAAGTGACAGTGATGAAGTAGAAGGTATTTATGGCCATTTGAACTTTCAGAATTTTTTTTAACCACAAATACTTTTGAGTATTGATGTCTTAATTTCAGAGAAGAAAAATGATACTAACAGAGGTTCCTTTATCTTGGGTTACAAAACACTCATTAAGAATTGAGAAGTCCAAACAGATTTTACTATTCTACCTCAGAAACATTGTGTAGATTTTTCTACCTCACGACCATTGCATAGATTTTTCAGTTAAATCCTGAATACTGCTGTTTTAAGATTCTTTTCCTCAACATGCACACCTTTTGTGGTGAGGAGTTTGTCCTGACCACAAGTACATTTGTTCTCAGAATCACTACATGGGGCTACTTTGAATACACCCTGTGCTTTGAAATAACATACCAGCACTAGACTTTTGAGAGCCATTATACCTATAATCCTTCTGATGTCTCAGGATTCTAGAAGTAATAGGTTCCTGCTTGCATTTTATAGAAGCATTAGCTTAAATATACTTGAAAGTAATACTAGTAGGTATTCTTTTTGCAAATATGCATTCATTTAATGTTCTTGCCGTTGAATTTACTCTAGGATTCCTTGACAGAGTAAAATTGTTGTCATCAGTATTTGAGTCTTTCATATTCTAAAATCTGACAATTTTCACTGCTACTCATATATTCAGTCCTTCTTCCAAAGTTTAGTTTCCAGATATTATAATGAATGAAGAAAGATGTATTAGCATCTTCATTGCTGTCTGTGGTTCTCTGGAAAGGATTCCATATGCTCTTACACAGCTGTCAAACTCCTTCAAAGGTTGAAGATGCTCATTTTAGTGCATATGTCAATTAGTTATTTGTTGCATTCAGCTAAAATTGCAGCATAATTATAAGATATAAAGCTGGGCATTAATGTTATGTGTGCTATTCTATGATTACTGTTGTGTTTACATCCATGTAAAAACTGAAAACTTTCCTGTGCTATTTTGCATGCATTTTGGTGCCTTAAAAAAAAAGGCAACAAAAACTAGTGTCAAGTTTTTGAACATTTGCTTGGTTTGCTGGCTCAGATAGTGCTTTACCAAGTGAACCATGCATTTACTCTGGATTTTTGCTGGTAATTTGGGAGATGGACTCTTGCGGACTTTTCAGCCTGGGCTGGTTTCCAACTCTGATTGTTCAGATCTCCTGTTCTGAGTAGCTAGGATTACAAGCCTGAGCCTCCAGTACAGTCTATTGTAGGGTAGTCACATTGGCTTCCACTGTGACTCGATTCCCACCCCCTTCTGGGATGTAAGATGGGACTCTATAGTACCATTCATGAGAAGAGATGAACAAGAGAGAACACACTGCTGTAAGATTAATGTAGTTACTGATAATAGTAGCTAATATTATTACAGTCCTGTCCTTCTAAGATTAGTGTTCACTCTTCAGATTCCAGGAACAGAAGAACCTAATTATTTTAAAGGGTCGTAGAGTGAGATTGCACATACTGATCAGCTTTAAGACTCCTCTTTTGTTGTAATTAATGTGACTCATCTTGATATTGCTGATTTTTTTAATGTTGTAGGCGTAATGTTTATAATTAGCACCGTTATAGATTTGAGGTTAGTGAAGAAGAACCTTGACATTTCATTGCTATTTTCTCATATTTCCCTCTGTGATATTCATTCAGGTTTTCATCTGTATGCACCTTCTCAGATATATCTTTGGTTATTTTCATTCATGCCTGCAGGCAGTTTTTACTAAGTGTGTCTGTTTAGTGGACCATGTATAAGTATATTCTCTGGTTAGTAGCATTTTTTTAATTCATCTTTCTTATAAATGGATTTTTATACTTTACCTAACCCCTTTGGTATTAAAGTAGACATTATGAAGTTAAAGGAAAAAGTAGGGTGGGATTAATAAACCAAAATAAATTTTTATTCTTGTCTAATCCTCCTTTCTCAAAAGGATAGATTCAAATATCCTCTGCTGTATTTTCTAAAGCTTTCTTTCTCTTAAAAATTGCAAAAGAAGTCAACTTGATACTATCAAAAATACCATCATGACTCACATTATCAGATTTTGTTTTAGATTTGTAAACCAAGCAACTCCTACTATACTTATCTGTTCCTTCTTATGATCTCAACAAAGATTAGAAATACTGGTCACAATCATGAGAAAACTATTTAGGGACATGGGGGGAAATTATTCAGCAATTTCTCAAAATGATGAGCTTATTTTTCTTCACTGGGTATATTTTCCAACATTTTTGAAGTTTTCTTCCCTTTTACCGTGCCTATAAAGTTAAAGATGATATCAGCCTGTCAAGTAGTCTGCAAATGCTAGGAGTGGCTCAAGAATCCTCCTGAAAGGTCATTGAACTTTAGAGTGTATCTATGCTACAAGGTGGAATTAACAAGGCAAGTGTCAAACAGTAAGAAATCCAGGGCTGGGAAGGTGGCTCGGTGGTAGAGTGCTTGCCTTGTATGCATGAGGCCCTGGGTTCAATTCCTCAGCACCACATAAGCAGAAAAGGCTGGAAGTGGTGCTGTAGCTTAAGTGGTAGAGTGCTAGCCTTGAGCTGAAGAGCTGCCCAGGCCCAGAGTTCAGGCCCCATGACAGCAAAAAGAAAAAAAAAAAAAAGAAATCTATACACGGACCTCACTGCCTGTCAATTATTCTGACCTCAAACCAAATATGAAGGAGTCCTTAACCTGTCTATTGGCATTTCCCTACTTTGAACCCACCAGCAAAGAACACACCACCCTCCTGAGGACCAAATAGAGGTAGTAAAAGGCTTTCCACCAAGAGGTTGGAGATAAGCAGGTAGTGGGATTCGAGGAAAGCTGGGGTGAGCAGTATTATCATGAAAAATGAGAGCATGAAGGCAAGATCCCAGCAATACGGAAAACAAATACATAGACTGACTACATTGGAGCCCAAGTTCCACTGAGAGTTGGTAGCCATCTATAACAGAACCTCCCAGCATCTCCTAAATCCTTTTCCTTGGAGAAGATCCTGAGTTTTCCACACCTGAGTTTTCACCTACCCCTCTATCCATTCCATTATAAAGTTTTCATTGGAAATCACTATGCACGAGAACATCACAAATTATTTCCGTTTTGCCTAGACTCTGAAAAGATGACCCTGACTTTCATTCCTTCATTTGCCATGTTCCCTACATTGTTTATTCCTTAGTAATTTTCTGTTTTTGTCTTCTTTCATACTTCTTTTATACTTTCATACTGTTAATTATCAGTTACTATCCTTCATTAATTATTTGTTTTCTTTTGGATAGACTGCCTTTCTACTAACGTTAGATTGAATATTAGAGTTTTTTTTCATTGTTTTTACTTTTCTGCGTTCATAATACAGTAGAATTCTCCTGTCTTAAATATCTACCCCTTCTGTGTATTCCTGACCTACTACTTAGGCGTAAAGAAAGGAAATTTAACCTACCCGACTGTCAATAGCGTGGATAAACTATGTCAAGAACACAGCTGCATCCCACTGCTTTGTCACTGCCTTTCTATGTCCCTTAAAATGCCAGCAGATGTACAACTCCAAATTGGGTATTAAATTTTCTCTTTCTGCTCATTTTTTTCCCTGTGATATAAACCAGGGTAGTTCTTTGCCACTTTTACCACTGATTTAGGTCATATCACATTAGCAACACGGTCAACTGCACACATGCATTGTTTTCCCTGTACACAGGGGCACTTTTGCTTTAGCAATTACATCCCTCCTACCACCACCACATACCGTCTTACTGAGAAATGTATGCAACAAGTTATTTTACGTTTCCTCTTTCATCATTCTCTGTAAGAATTTTCAATTGCTCCAATTCAGTATAAAAGTCTTCCTGTGGGCAGAATCTTCACATTGGACTAGAACAGTGGGAAATCCCAAATACATGGTTTAATCCTATAATTTATTGAAGTAGTATCAGAGATGTATTATTCAACTTGATCATCAAGATGGCATGTTTATACATATTTAATTTCATGTTTCTCTTCTGGGTTGAGAAACTTATTAATCATAAGTCTCAGAACTGTCTTTGCTTATTCATGGTGGCCAGGACACACTCTTAGATTCACACTACTGAATTCAATATTCTTAGTGATTTCTATTTCAAAAAGGCTCAGGCTTGAGACAGGGTTCCACCTTCACTCTCAACTCAGTTTCATAAAATAAGAAGAAGGAAAAAAAAACAACTTTTATCATCATCATCACTATCATACCAGACTCTTGATTTGCTATGTAGCATGCCATCTCCAAAAGCTGTATTTTGATTATTCTATTACATATATGTTTAATATGTATATTCAAAAGTTATTTTAATTTGAAAATATAAATTTGCTTGCAAGATTTCCAAAATCTAGAGCAGCAGAATTCACGATAAAAAATTGCTACAAGCTAATTGGCATTTTCTATCATACTGCACTTTGATTTCTAAAAGATTTTACTAACCATCCATTGGAGGATGTGATCACATTCTAGATTTCTGTGAATCAAATTCATTGAAAGTCATTCAGAGGCACAATTAATAATGTTTATGGTGAGTGGTTCTTTTAAGAGACCTCCTATACTCTCCCCAAGTGCTTGATCTTTGGTAGACTTTGAAATCTTTCATAGGAAGATTGAAATCCAGGAGTTGAGTTCAAGGAGAATTATTGCCCCAGATAAGGGAAATATGCCAATTATTTATACTCCTCTTATCTTTATATCCATCTTCTTATCAGTTTTCTAAGGATTGATAGAGGACTTCTACCTATATTGTCATAACCTGGCCAAGGATAATTTAGGAGTGGAAGACTAGCTGTTTTGTATGATACACTGAGGAAAGAAGTCCAAACAAACTGATCTTGCAGAATTTACTTTTATGATGGCTTTATACTCTTTTCGCAATTCTCATCAGGAATGTCTCTCTCTCTTTTTTTTTTATAGCAGTGGTGCTAGTTCTCAATGAGTAGATCATTTCCAGAAATGGACCCCTTGTTTCTAAAGCATGTCTGTTTCATTGGCAGTCCCACCGCGTAACTTGATGATCGACATCCAGAAAGACACAGCTGTGGAAGGTGAGGAGATTGAAGTCAACTGCACCGCCATGGCCAGCAAACCGGCCACGACCATCAGGTGGTTCAAAGGGAACAAGGAGCTAAAAGGTAAGATGCAAAGTCCCCTGTACTGGAGTCATTAGTTAGCACCTGATTCTAGAAAATAGACCTTTGTGGAAGTTGCAGACTAAAACAAAAGATGTGCTATCATGAGAGCATTTACTTAGATATGGTTCATAATCAGTTGCCAAAAACATCTGAGGACAAAGCATGATTGCATTTTATTGTTGTAATTCATATTCTCACTTGGTTTGAGGGTTCATGATAGTTGTTGCTTTGCCCAGAAAGAACTTAGACCTATAAACTAGAATTCTTCATGCTAGGAAAAACTACTGTCAGAGATATCCCCTGAGCTTAGGTTGTCTGTGTCTGAACCTCAGTTGTCATTGCTTTCATCTTGTATTTTGTACAGTTCTCCTCTTGTATTTTTGTGTTGACTCAAAGTGGATCAGTATGCCAAATTTTCATGTTACTTATTTTTTGTACATTTTTTATGATTAAAAAATACTGTACAGAGGGGTTATAGTTACATGAGCAAGATAGTGAGTACATTTCCTATCCAGCATTGTTGCCTCCTTCTTTGTTTTTCCCCTACCATCCCTTCGCTCCCACCTCCACAACTCCCCCCGCCCCCCAAAGTTGTCAAGTTCGTTTTCAACATAGTGTCTTGTACATCTCATTGTTATAATGGGTCAACCCGTATCCCTATTTAAGCATTTTGGTTTTTTCCCTTCCCCTCCCCAAATTAGAGAAGGGTATATACAAAATTCAGGGCACTGATATCAAATGCAGTGAAAACAGGGGTTATAGCATGGGGGAGGAACATACAAAGAAACAAAAAAAAATCACATGATACATTATAAATACATTAGAAACAAAAGCAAGAAAGAAAAACGATATTTGTGTCCCTTTCTTGGGGTTCATTTTGCTTAACATCATCTTATCTGGTCATGTGTACATGGCTTTTGACCTTTTCTACTTGTCCTACACATGTACTAGTTATTGCAAATAAGGGAAACCATGGAACCTATGTTTCTTCGGGCCTGGCTTACTTCACTTAATATAATTTTTTCCAAGTCTTTTCATTTCCTAACAAATGGGGTGATATCATTCTTTCTGATGGAGGCATAGAATTTTAGTGTGTGTGTGTGTGTGTGTGTGTTCCATTCATCTACTGAGGGGCATCTGGGTTGGTTCCATATCTTAGCTATGGTAAATAATGCTGTGATAAACATAGTTGTGCTGGTAGTCTTAGTATGGCCATGTTTGTGATTGTTTGGGTAAATGCCCAAAAGTAGGATTGCTGGGTCATAAGAGAGCTCTATGTGCAGTCTTTTGAGGAACCTCCATACTGCTTTCCAAAGTTACTTATTTTTTTTAATGCCAAATCACTATTGCACTATCAGCTATGTCAACTAGATGCTTTCCTGAAAAGGTGGTCACTCTAAGTGGAAGAAGAATTTTATATTGTGAATTTACAAAGACCACCTATCATTCCATTGCCTGACTTCACCAGCCTTCTCCTTTGCAAAGTCTGTGGCTCTGTGGTGGCTCTATAGTGAGTTCCTTTAGTCACACTCCAGGTGCTGCTTCCTCAGAACTAGGTCATCTTGGGTTGGAATCCTGAATCCTCAAATTCCTGACACCTCAGCAGTTGCATTAGATAAAGGATGCCGCCCCTAGCCTATTCCGCATTGTCTGTCAGTTATCATCAGTCCTTTATGTATGTCAGCTTTCAGATTCCTTTCTTTTCAAAATTACAAATGATACCAGGAACAGAGAACTCAGGAGCTGACCTCTAGTCATCAGCTGAAACACTAGCCAGCCTCAGTTTTCTCTAAAAATGTGAAGAAATATATAAAACTTGTGGGATTCCTATGGAGATGAAATGAATAAACATGTATAAAGCATTTAGCTAGTACCTGGGCCAAAGTGAGGGCTATATGTGTGCTTGTTAAATAAATAAGCAGTATGAGGAAGAGAAGAATAAGCCCTTTTAGGAGAGTGATACAGAAATCTATATCTGGAAACAGAGAAGGCTATATATAACGGCTTAAGTTTCCGAAAAGCTTGCTCTGTTTTAATCTCCTGTTTCCTAGGTATGGTTTTAGAAGAAGGACTTTCTCATTTCCCCTCTACTTGTCTGTTTAAGTGAATTGAGCCATTAAATGTGTACCGATAAGTACAAAACATTAAAAAAAAGTTAATGGTGTTCCGTGTTCCCAGGAGTGCTGGGTTCAGGAAGGGACGGCCTTGGCCTATTCATTCCCTCCGGAAACCTCCTTACTCCCCTTCTGGGTGTTCTTGGACGTGTCTCCCATCTGGCCCAAAGCCCTATATCTTACTTTGCTCTAGCCCACTGTCACTGCCTTTCTGTGGTCTTCCAGAAGTCTCTGAGTTTAAACATTTCAATTACAATTTCAATTATGTAAATCCATTTAGTTACTTTCCCTCTTAATTGTTGATGATGGGGGTAGGCAGAAGGGGTTGTTTATATCTCTACTGCTGATTGAATTACTTAGGGGATTTGGACGCTGTCCTGGAAATTTTTAAACGGCATGACAGCCTTGTGGATATTTCAAGTTGAGACGGTAGTGGGGGTGAAAAGCACTTCTTTTTTCCTCCCTCCTAAATTCTTTGAGCAGCCAGATGTCAACGCAGCTGAACTTTCAGCTGACTTAGTGAGAGGTTTGAAGAGAGAGGAAACATGCCAAATATTTCCATTAAAACAGTGTATGTCTTTGGGAATTGAAATATGTCTTCAAAACAGTTCTGTATGGTTGAAAAATATGAACTTAATAATCATTTAGCAGATAGCTATCCACAGATTACCTTTAAACAGTGACTGACTTCCATGATAGCTGGTAAAGTAGCCATATTGGCATGGGGATAGCAAAGAGGTGCTAAAAGCAGACTGATGGAAAAGAACTGGATGCTTGACACGCCTTCTCTTGCAGGCAAATCAGAGGTGGAAGAGTGGTCAGACATGTACACAGTGACCAGTCAGCTGATGCTGAAGGTGAACAAGGAGGATGATGGGGTCCCAGTGATCTGTCAGGTGGAACACCCCGCCGTCACCGGAAACTTACAGACCCAGCGGTACCTAGAAGTGCAGTGTGAGTACTCGAGCATCTTGTTCAGAGGGCTTAGCATGACAGTTGTTTAAAATCCATTCAGGAGCCTATGGGGTTTACATCCATTTGATATAGCAGTGACAGAAATTCTTCCCTGTTGTCTTCAGTAAAGACTGCCATATTACGAAGTGTCAACCAACATGTGAAAATACTAACTACATCTTACCCAAATGCAGAACCAAAATGATCCTAATCTGCTTTAATACATGACTTCAAATGAATTTCTTTCAATATAGACTGTCATCATTCCTCTGCCAACTACAAAACCAAGGGTAATTCTTCCTCCTTTTTTAATCTCATCATAAGCACTGGATTTGTTAAATAGAGGTTATTCTACGTATTTTGTTTTATGTGGCACATTCTCTTCTATTTTAGCTTAAATTACAGCAGTGAGTTGAAAGTCAAACTTTTTAGGACCAGTGCCACATCTTGATGGCTTCATCAATAAAAGCTACACTGTAGTGAGGAAGGCTGTCTCCAAGCAGTGCCCCATAGACTAAATATGTTCTCCTCTAGACCCTTCTGCTTCAGAGGAAAAAGAAAAAAAAATCTGCACAAAACCAGTCTTGTGCCAAGGTTATGGCCAGGTTGCCAGCTTCTTACTTTTCATCTAAAGACTTCTGTAAAACGTGGCCTCTGAAAATTTCCAGGTGATACTTTAATATGAACAGTGAAGAGTTTGAGTGGAATGATTGTGACTGGGGATCTGTGAATCCTTGTATTAGGAGCCACTGTTACAAATCGCAGTTATACCAACTTCGTAGCTTAAAACTATAGTTCTAAAGGCCCAAAAGACCAAAATCAAAATCTCTGTTGGAGCACATTCTCTCCAAAGGTTCCAGGAAAAGGCTCCATCTGCACCTCTTCCTGGGCAGTGCAGTTCTTTTGTGTCTGTCTTCACAGTTTCATTCTCTGTCATCCTAGGATCCTGTCTCCTTTGTGTCTCTTCCAAGGATCCTTGTCATTGGATGTAGAGACTGCCCAGATAATCCAGAATAGTCTCATCTTCAAGCTAACTGTCTACAAAAACTCTTTTTTCAAGTTAAGTCACCTTCACAGGTTCCAGGCATTAGAACATTGCTTCAGATTCCATCATGCAACCTACTATACGCCTTATCACATATTTAAATCACCTGAGTAAAACAAGAAGTAGGAAAAGGTATAAAACGGCTCCCAAGAGACAATACCACTCCTACCTTTTCTTACACTGTGAGCTTGTCTTAATTTAACATTACATATACAGGTTTTTCTTGTTAATTCATTTCAGCTACTTCATTATATAGGTTCATTATGAGCATCATGCTTATAATTTTCATATCACTAAAACTATTGTGGTATAATGTTCCTATAATGGGAAAACAGAAATGATCAGATATTATCTAAATTGGCAGATAGTAGAATTCTTGTGACTTTGTTAATATGTAATTCATTTAAGCAAACTTAATATCCATTAACTTCCCTTGTAGGGGCCCATTAGCTTTAATAATACATTAGCTCCTTTGTGAGTCCTGAGTAGATATTTGCCCAATTTTCACCCCTAAACTCTTTTCAGTGGTTTCCCAGAGTGTCTTTTAAATGAATTCTAGCCATATCCACCTACAAAATTACACACTCACTTGTGAAATGAAAAATATTCCTCCTACCCTGTGCAACACTTGATAACGATCCTTAGCCTTGCTTTTCTGTTCTGGAGAATCAAGATTGTCCTTCCAAGAAAAGGAATAAGGGTCCAGATCTGAACCCATTGGACTTTGACCTGAAAAAGTACCGCTGGCTTCTGCGTGCAGTAAGGTGACTTTTTTTTTTTGTCGGTTTGGGGGCTTGAACTCGGCCTGAGTGCTGTCCCTGAGCTTTTCAGCTCAAGGCTAGCTCTCTACCACTTGAACCACAGCACCACTTCTGGTTTTCTGGTGGTTAATTGCAGATAAGTGTCTCACAATCATTTCTGCCTAGGCTGGCTTTGAACCTCAATCCTCAGATCTCAGCCTCCTGAGTAGCTAGGATTACAGGCATGAGTTACCAGTACCTGGCAGTAAGGTGACTTTTTAACACCTCAAACATGAGGATGCCACCAGTGGTTAGTCCAGGCTCTTTAAGTGGCATCTTTTTGTGGACAGCAGTGTTGTTTTATTCAATATAAGTCACACAGACAGCTTTTCCTTGATATGCCAGTATATCAAGAAATAAACATAGGAAAAGTGTTTTGTTGTTGTTGTTGTTGTTGACTAAAGGAAGGTTAAGAATTTAAAAGCCTCATATCAATTGAAAAGGAAAGACTCACTGTTCAAGAAAGTGACCTGACCACTGAATCAAGGAATACTGCTCCATTCCTAAAGCATTGTTACCAACTTAAGTAGCTTCTGTAAATGCAGTTGGAATTCTCTGTTATCCCCTGCTAGCTTTTCTCTTCTTGATCAACCAGCAGCTATACAATAGCAAAAGCCTAATGCCCTGAGCACAGTCCTCGAGCCCTTACCAACTATTGGCCAGTGGTATTGGTGGCCCAACTCCATTCCCTCATAGCAGGACTTTCTCTTCAGACAAGATGACCAAGGAGATTACTAAAGGTATGAGTAATTTGTTCAGGAGCCAGTCTACATAGATAGTGTATTACTGTGGACACTCTGTATTTTTATTTTTATTAGCACATATTAATTATACAAAGATGTTTTTTGTGGTAGTCTCTTACATGAATATGATGAAGCTTGAAGACATTCACCACTCTTCTTGTTCTTTCTTATCCACACACACATACCTTATATACCTTTTTAAGCAGTTGTAATAGGTTTCATTACTATTTCTCATACTTGTATATTAAGTACTTTGATTGTATTCACCACCCCCTACCTTTCCCTTTACCCCCTCCACATAACACTAGCTCCTGTCCTCAAACAGTCCCCATTTCATATTCCTGTCCTTCATTTTATAAAGTTCATGATAGTTGACTTTCTCAGCCTGGGTTATTTCACTTAACACGATGATCTCCAGTTCCATCCATTTCCTCTACACAGTACCATTTCATTCTTCTTTATAACTGAATGATACTCCATTTGTGCTTATATGCCATCTTGGTTTATTCACTTATTAGTTGATGGGCACCTAGACTGATTCCATAGTTGGACTATTGTGAAGAATGCTACTATCAACATGAATGTGTAGATATTTCTATTATACGCTGACTTACATTTTCAAGTATATACCCAGGTGTATACCTACATATTTTAATTGACCCAGTTCCAAAGTTGATACTTTTAACCTTTATGAAGACATTGGCCCTTAAAACAAACAAACAAAAACGTGTTTTTTTTTCCCTTGGCCTGGGGAAAAAAATAAATAGAATAATATATTCATCACATTTTGTTAAGAATTTAAGGAGTCTCTTTTTCCTGTAGAATTTTCCTAACTTCAGTAACTTGAGAGCCACTTTATCAATTAAACTTTCCGTTAAGTCACTTTATTGCTTTAATTGAATCAAGACTCACATAAAAATAGCAGTGAAATTATGAGTTTTGTTAAGAATACATGCCTACTAAAGTTTTAAAGTATATCACTATTCTTTATTCAATGTCCATTCCTTTGTCACCTTAGAAGATTTCTTACACCATTGATTCAGATTATAACAGAAAATTCTGAGCCTCTCCTTAGACCTTGTTGTCTGCTCCCAATGAAGAGACAGCCTCAGGAGTCAATCTTAACCAGATCTGAGTGCTATGGCATATCTTCAGTTGGGTTTACCCTAGCCTATTTGGGCAATGAAAATTCGCAGAACCTTCTCTCTGCCCCCGTCTAAGTTGAATGAATATTAACCAGAATATGAACAGGGTTAAATGACAGATTGTAGAATTCTGTATAAGTTATATCCTTTTAAAAAATAACATTAAAAGAGAAATGAACTAGTGACAACTTGAATTGTATGACATTGAATATCTTTCTTGAAGTATGACAGAGAGAAAAGGGAGGAGGGGAAGAAATTAAAGGAAAAAAGGAGCATACTTCTCTTAGCATGCAAGGCCTCCATGCTTCGTGGAAGACAAGGCTTGCGCTCCAACTTGGAATTGCTTTTGTCTTGTGGATTCAAGCCCTAATTAATTGAACCAGTATTCTGCAGTGTTTGTTAGTCCCCTTATTTGTGATACCAGGAGAAATTGTTGGGCCCAATTATGTGAAAAATCAGCCAGATGTGTATGCTGTCATTGTTTTAATAATCCTTAAATTTTTGGTGAGTACAGATATTAATTGTGTAGTATGCGTTGAAGTGATTAACATCAATGTAATTTATCATCTGGAGATTTCTGAACATAAATAAATGAGTTGTTTTGTTCAGCAAGGTGTTGACCCTTTCAGAATCAGTGAATTAAAGTCTCCCCCTCTCTTCTTTTTTATTATAAATATGAAAGGCACCACAATCAGCCAAGTGTTCAGTTATTTGATTTTCTGGGGCATTAGCCACTCTTGTTTGTGACATTTCCCTGTTGGGTGCTCGTTTGCAAGCTCATTAATAAGGTTTTCTCATAGGAACATTGCTGAGAATGAAGAACATACAGTAGGGCTCTTACTTTGCTAGCTTTCATTTGGAGACCCAGCAAGGGTACAGCAACAGCATGCAGCTAAATGTTTAAAACAGAAAATAATTATGTTCGCACACTGGAATTCAAAGCTCTGTTTTCTTAGATGTTATGCAGAGAACAGTTTTGCTTTTTAATGTTCTGAGCTATATGACCCTAAAGTCTTTCTGCGCATTTTTTTTCCTCTCACAAACCTCTGTATAGGTGATGTTGTCCAGATTGACAACATGGTTGATTATAGCAGAGTATGATACAATTGTAGCGTGGTTAGTAGTTCTCTCTGATGTGAGGGAACGTACTCTTGTCAAATAAAAGCCTGTTTAAACGAAAACAGTTCACTGTCTGCACGCTAAAAGAAAACTGTCTAAATAGCATCAAGGTGGCAACACAGAGCAATGTAAGCTAGGAATTCAAAGG